ATATATATTACAAAGTTTCATATAATACATTTATTACATTTAACCTTATTTGTATCATATACAATATTCAATTCAGTGTTACTGTTGAGGATATGACTGTCATCAATGACATTGTGGAACGTGCGATCGCTCTTGCAACAAATGTTAATAGTCTTGTGAGAGACAAGTCTCAAACAAGTCTCCTCCACAGGGTGGCCAGGTGCACCCTTAGAGATAGGGTGAGGAGCTCGGTCACCTGGGAGGAGCTCAGAGTAGAACCGCTGCTCCTCCACATTGAGAGGAGCCAGCTGAGATGGCTCAGGCATCTATTTCGGATGCCTCCTGGACGCCTTCCTAGGGAGGTGTTCCGGGCATGTCCCACCGAGAGGAGGCCCCAGGGAAGACCCACGACACGCTGGAGGGACTATGGCTCTCGACTGGCCTGGGAACGCCTTGGCATTCTCCCGGAGGAGCTGGAGGAAGTGTCTGGAGAGAGGGAAGTCTGGGCGTCTTTGCTTAGACTGCTGCCCCTGCGACCTGGTTCCGGATAAGTGGAGGAAAATGGATGGATGGAAGTCTCAAACAGTACCTCACGAAGGTGGTTACAAAGCATTGCAATGGTATGCCATCAGTTGTGCAACCTATCTTTTTGAATTAAATAGGATTGTACAGCTATTTCAGTTTGTTAAGATGATGTTTGTGTTGTGTTTGTGCCTAAAAAGTATTGAGTGGTGACTATAGTGAGTGGAGTGTGTGTATAATGACTGTTTGGCAACTGCTTTCATGTCAAAGTGCAGATATGTGGTTTAATCGGATGTTGTTTAGAAGTATTTTTGGGGTACCCCTAAATTTAGAGCTAGGCAAGTAAAATCATATCCATGTGTGTAAGTGGTACATTTTGCTGTGATACTCTTGTACTTACCTATAATGCAGAGAATATATATAGTAATAGAAATTCCAGCCCACACAAGTTCATCATCTAAACAATTATTAATAAATGATGATCTAGACATCTCTTGTGTGTGCTGGAATTCCTTTTACTTTGTAAATGTATCGTCCTGCTCCAGCTTCACACTCTACATACAGCTGTGCACAAGATTGCTAAATATGTCTTTAAAAGAGATATTACAAACTGAGCCGTCATATCAAAGATGTGGGCATGCAGTTATGATGACATTAAGTATATAAATGGAATAACTGTGCATTTATTTGGTTAACCTTTTTACCATATATCACTCTGCAAAAGGCAGAGAGATGTATTTACAGTTCTACTTTTTCAGTTGTGTGCACAAGTTTGCATCCCCCTACTTTGAAATGACCTCCTCTCCCCACATTGACAGGCCGGGTCCATCACTAAGTGATATTCCAGGACCTCATAATTTACAAATTAAGCATTGCCTCAGGAGGTTCTGAATTTTCATTTTAAACAGCATAACTGCATGAAATTGTTTAAAATTCTTGAAGTATTACTGTATTATGAGAAACACTTAAGTTTTCTTTTCCATATTAGAAAAATCAATTATAGAAAATTTTATAATTGGGGGCGGGGGGCTGCATACATAATGAACACTTTCAGGAGCAACCACAGGGATTGAAACGAGCACCAGTTCAAATTTGTGAAAATGGTATATCACTAGTATAACACAGAACATGACTAAAACTTCTGGATGTACAAGGAGTAA